TACAATGAGCCTCACCAAAGATAAAACTAAATGGAGGCTGTGAGACACCGAGTCAGCATACTCGGTTCGGCCCTACTCATTTCTTCTTGTCTTGATTCTTTACATACTCTACAAGGGACAAGGGGATTCGAAATTCGCCAATAGGTGGCGCCTGCTTGCACCTGAGGAAAACCATTACCTGGTGAACGACAATGCATACGACGTGTGCATTGTCGTTCAACAGTTCCTCTGGAGGGTTCCCTGTCAATAGGGAGATCGAGTGATTTCGCTCCACTTCACCACGCGTGTCTTCTTGCATTCTTTTCATACCACCAGATTGGTTGGGTCATCCAGCTCCTGCAGGACCATCGTACCAAAGTCCCGTGAAGTGGAGCTTGGTACGTCCTGCAGGAGCTTCTGAATGCTTGGCACGATGCCACTCTCTTTGGCCTGCTCTGCACTGGGCACCGACACCAGATCTGTAAAGGTCTCCTCGCGATCACTAAATTTTCTCTTGCAGCTGTCCTGCAAAGACTTCCCTCAGCAAGGCTTCGTCGCCTCCGCCAAGTTTGTCGAACACAAAACGAATTGTCTCAGTCACATCCTGTTGTTCTCCTGAGCGGTAGTCTGGGGGAAATGCCTGCAAGATTTCCCTAATCATTAGGGAAATCTTGCCCAAACTACAGTTCAGACGATCAACAGGATGTGACTGAGACAGCCCTAATGTCCGTATGCTTGTGTTTTGTCAATGCCATCTTTGCAAACAGCTTTTGAAGCAGATCCACTACATTCTTTCCGAACTCAAAGTCCTCCTCGTCAATTTTGGATGGCTTTCAGCTTCAGGGTAAAGTCATAGATGCGCCACACAAAGGCATCAGTAAGGAACAGAGCCTGCATGAAACTATTATAAACTGTTCATGTAGCAAGTGTTGTTGGTATTCTGGAGTCCAAGACTTGGGTGTGTGTGCGGCACTGCCTTTGATGTCTCTTGGGGCAATGTGTGAAACTCTGTTTGTGTCGTCAGCGGTTGCATGCAGCCTTGTGCTCCCTGCGATTGTTTTTGCAGAGCTGCTTGGCTAGTCTGGTACTGCTGCAGCCACCCTTGACCTTGTGTTTGGTGACATTGCCGGCTTACCATTTGGTTTTGTTCATATTGGCTCCAAGTTGCGCCTGGTGCGGTCTGGAAAGTGGTCGACTGAGCCTGCATCTGTCCATTTGCCGGACTAGCCATCTGCCCTCCCAAGCGTGGTGCCGCTGGAATCTTTAACTTGCCAATGAACGCAACCTGGTCCCCAATTCTCCTGCGTGCTCTGAGAACTGGGACAAATAGTCCAAAAGAGGTAGAAGGGGCACACATCTGCTGGAATCACAGGCACATCATGAAAGAGCATAAGCAGCAAGGCAGGTGCCTGGGTTAAAATGCTTGAACTGCTGGTTCCCAAATCAATCCAAAAAGTGGAGGTGGTCCTGGCACCAACTTTCAAAAGCCTGCCTTTCCCTCCAAGGACGCTGGGGCACCCAGTTGCATAAGCAACCCCATAGGGTCATAATATGTCATGGCTGACTTAGCAGGCACCTTGGAAGGCTGGCAGCTTTCAAAAGTTCAGGGAACTCAGTGAAGAAACATCAAGAACCAAACCACATATATTTTCTAAGGCATGCTATACCCGCCAGAAAAAGATTGGACAAAGAAGGGAATGAACGTTTATGTAAAAACCATTAATAATCACCAGGCCACAAAAGCTGCTGCAAGTCTGGTGAATCCTGTGTTGGATGGCGACAGACCTGCGTATCTGTCACAACCGTTCAAAACACCTTCTGCACTGGTGAAGTCCCAAAAAATGAACAGACAAATCTCTTAGTTCTATTTTGGGATATCGTACATTTACTATCATTTAAATTTATATTCATTTATCCAATTACTTGTCATACTAAGTCATACTATAATCATTGTTTTATACGCCCCAAACCTTTGACGACCAACATTAATACTCAATTTCGAATGTTTTTTTCCATCTAACATCCGCCTCCTGAAAAGGAAGGGAGAGGATCAAAGTTTCCGCGTTGGCAGGACTTTGGCGAGCCGTTTCCTCGCCAAGAATCATGCAGCTTTTACTCCTTCAGGGTTGCAAGGGGGCCCAAAACAAGACCAAAAAACAGCCAAACAAACCAGACATTGCCAGCAAAAATATGAAATTGAAAAACCCAAATGAATCCAAATGATAATTCAAGAGTCTTTCCAAGAGACCATATCCTTGGCTTTGACTTCTATGCATGTGTGGAATCGGCTTGAACCGCTGTCGTTGCGTCTCAAAAGGGTTTGCGTGCAAGCGCACCACACAACTCACCAATAAATCTTGGTTCCGACGTGTGGAAGGCACATCTTTCCAAATGTGGGCCAACCACGCTCTCGCACTACACGCTGGCACTTTGCAGAGGTCGTTTGTCCTTGTACGTTTCATGAGAGGCTTCCAAAATTTGGAGGCTTCAATGTTGGTGGTCTGCTGCTCGATCCACATTTCCATGTAAAGGTTCGTTTTCACCTGGCCATGGCTCAAACATGAACCCGCAAAATGACAGTAGTTTTTTGTAAATGTCTTTTTACAAACCCATCCAATTTGGGGGGTATCTTATATTCTATGATTTTGACCATACCCACTACCCACCTTGCTAAACTCTGAAGTCACAATAGCTGGATCTGGATGGAGCCGAAGAAATTCTCCAAGCATTTGGATGCTGAGGTCATGCATCCAGTGCATTAGCAAAGGCTTATCCAGGATTGCTTGGATGCAAAGACCAACTTCATGGACGGCCATCTACTGCACCAAATGCTGTGCTTCCCAATACTTTTCTTGCAGGGGGTTCAGCTCCAGCAATGGGCGGTGCAAGCGAAGCTTGACAGGAGGATCTTGATGTGCATAAGCTGGAGAAGCCATGTTGGGCTTTCAAAGTGGTGGGATGGCTTATCGATAAGCCATCCCACCACTTTGAAAGCCCAACATGTGCCCCGGCTGCCCACAGCCGCAGCCATAGTAAGCACAGGGCGCTACAGCAGCCATGAGCTTCGATCGGCACCGATGTACAGTAATACCTAGTCATGTACAGTATATACTGTATACGTACTAGTGTGCCCTGATGCGGATGAGCCTAGGCAATGTTGCTGTTACATTTCTGTCATGAATAGGTCTTGCAGGAGTATGCTGAACTTTGCTGCGGTGCAAGCAACTCCAGCTACTGTGACCATGCCTGCGCGTCTGTCTCTGTTTTTGCAATTCTGTATGTTCTCACAAAGCCCTCGAAGGTCCTTGAAGGTCTTACTTTGCTAGCAATTCCCTGAAAATCGAAAATCAAAAATGCATGGTTTGACTTCTAAACAACCACTGTCACAGGTTGGTTGCACCCTCCGAACTCAGTTGGATAATCTGGCTCTTGACTCATCTCTGAATAATTTGTGCTGCTAATTTGGGTTTTTAAGAACTATTTTGGATCCGACAATGACAATCAAACTACCACCCAATCCAGCAACTCAAGAGAGAGAGAGAGAGTACCCTCTGGTAATTTAACATAGCTATGGAAAATCACCATTTTTAATAGGTAAATCCAACTATAAATGGTCATTGTGAAAAATTACCAGAGGGTAGCCCTTATAAATCTGTACCAAAATCTGCAGGCTCGGTTGACCTTAAGGTTCCATCATGTTCCATCCCCCCTGGCCCAAAAATTCCAGCAGAGTCGCGGGTCTTGAAATTCCTGGGCCAACAGTGGCGACATGTGGCGACCATGGACCGTTTGGTTAATAATGGTTAATATTGGTTAATAATGGTTAATAATGGTTAATAATGGTTAATAATGGTTAATAATGGTTAATAATGGTAAATAATGGTAAATAATGGTAAATAATGGTAAATAATGGTAAATAATGGTAAATAATTGTAAATAAGGTAATAATGGTAAATAATGGTAAATAATGGTAAATAATGGTAAATAATGGTAAATAATGGTTAATAATGGTTAATAATACTTAATAATGGTTAATAATGGTTCATAATGGTTCATAATGGTTCATAATGGTTCATAATGGTTCATAATGGTTCATAATGGTAAATCATGGTAAATAATGGTGAATAATGGTAAATAATGGTAAATAATAGTAAATAATGGTAAATAATGGTAAATAATGGTAAATAATGGTAAATAATGGTAAATAATGGTTAATAATGGGTAATAATGGTAAATAATGGTTAATAATTGTAAATAATGGGTAATAATGGTAAATAATGGTTAATAATGGTTAATAATGGTAAATAATTGTAAATAATGGGTAAATAATGGTAAATAATGGTTAATAATGGTAAATAATGGTAAATAATGGTAAATAATTGTAAATAATGGGTAATAATGGTAAATAATGGTTAATAATGGTTAATAATGGTTAACAACGGTAAATAATGCTAAATAATGGTCTAAGGAGGAGATGCTTCTCATGTGCCAAACAATCCCTTGATATATCTTGATATCAATCCATCAGAATCCATAGCATGGTCTGTAGCAGGAAACCCGCAGAGCGAAGGGAAATGGTTGCTGCGTATTCCAAAACTTACTGTCATAAACAGCCACTGCAGGTGCAGCAATACAAAAACGGCTTGGAAATGGTAATTCCTTCCCAAATTAGATAAGTCTATTTATTTCCACATAGCACTGGAACTTGTCTTTGATTCCTTCATTCCCTCGAGCAGTTTCTGTTGATTTTTTAGCAAAAACCGTTGAAATGCCAGGTGTCCATGATGCGTTGCCAAATTCTTTGGATCAGCGAAGTCGGCGTCGCCAGCAACTGCTTGCCTCACTGACGTCTAGGATGTGGCCAACCGCTTGAAATGTGTCCCCTAGCAAACAAGGTGTCGGAAAACCCTCTGAAGATCAAGAAACCTAAAACAACCACCCTTAAGATCGGCACAAAATGTCGACTGACAATATGTTCATCTCCCATTTGTTGCTGATCCAATGAACATGTTATAACATGTTCAATCCATGTTCAATCCCTGAAATTCCGCATCCTGTTCGCTGCACCTCGGATCTGGAAGCTGCGGGCAGTCAGCTCGACATCCTGCCCTGAAATTCGACACACTGAAAACCAGAAACAGCCTGAAAAAAACCCCGAAAAAAACCTGAAACCTCTCTCTCTCTCTCTTTGCCATGTGTGTATCGTATAGATATTTTCTTGAATGATATTAAACTATGTATATATATCATATAATATTAAGTCGGCAGCTGATGAGTGACGGGCCCTAAATAGTGGAACATATTTTCCAAACCAGTCTTTCCCTCCTATATTTTAAAATGTTTTTCAGGAGAGGACGAATCAGCTCTGGACCCCTTTCTGTAGTGCCTTCAAACCCACAAGGATCTGTTGTTTTACTACACCCTGTAGAAAACCAACACCTGTTTTTTTTCGCGGAGGTAGCCAATGAACGACCGAGCTGCTGAATTTTGGAATTGTTGGGGCGGTACTGAATGTCAAGGAACTTCCTGGGAAATTTTTCTGAATCCCAAAAGGCACCACTCCTTTACAGCTTTCCTGGAAAAAAGAAAGCAGGAAAGAGAGGAAGAAACAAAGGAAAGGAAAGGAAAGAAAAAAAGGAAGAACAAGAGGAAGGAAGAAGGGAAGGAAGAAAGGAAGGAGGAAAGAAAAAAAATAGGAAGTAACAAAAGAAGCAGGAAATAACAAGGAAGGAGAGAAATCGCAGGAAGGAAGAATCAACCAGGGAAGAAGAAGGGAAGAAAGAAAGGAAGGGAGAACAAAAATGAAAGAACACAGGAATGAAAAAGAACAAAGACAAGAAGGAAGAATGACGAAGTCCGACGAAGGAGACAAATTATCAGGAATGAAAGCGAGTTGTGGTCCAACCGAATCCAAGCGAATCCAACCGAATCCAACCTTACAAAGTTTTTCCCCGCCTGCCAGGTGAGGGTTGTTAGATTTTATCAGAGTTGTTCTTCTCCTCCTCCTCGACTAGCTCTCCTCTTCCTCCTCCTCGTCCTCCTCCGCCTCCTCGTCTGCCTCCTCCCCCCTCCTCTTCCACTTCCACGTCCACTGTGGCCTTGCCAACTCTTCGCCAAGCTCTTCGCCAACGTCCGAGCTCAGTGTGCACCGCTGGACCTCAACCTGGGACCTGCCCAGCTCAGTGTGCACCGCTGGACCTCAACCTGGGACCTGCCCAGCTCAGTGTGCACCGCTGGACCTCAACCTGGGACCTTCCCAGCTCAGTGTGCACTGCTGGACCTCAACCTGGGACCTGCCCAGCTCAGTGTGCACCGCTGGACCTCAACCTGGGGCCTTCCGAGCTCAGTGCGCACCGCTGGACCCCAACGGCCAGATAGAATGCCAGAAGATATGAAAGATAGAACGCCAGATAGCATGTCAGATAGAATGCCAGAAGATATGCCAGATAAAATTCCAGAATGTTTGCCAGATAGAATGCCAGAAGATATGCCAGATAGAGTGCCAGAAGATATGCCAGAAGATATGCCAGATAAAGTGCCAGAAGATATGCCAGATAAAATGCCAGAAGATATGCCAGATAGAATGCCAGAAGGTATGCCAGATAAGGTGCCAGAATGTTTGCCAGATAGAACGCCACAAGATTTGCCAGATAGATTGCCAGATAGAATGTCAGAAGATATGCGAGTAGATATGCCAGATAGAGTGCCAGAAGATATGCCAGAACATATGCCAGGAGATATGCCAGGTAGAATGCCAGAAGATATGCCGGATAAAGTGCCAGAAGATATGCCAGATAAAATGCCAGAAGATATGTCAGATAGAATGCCAGAAGGTATGCCAGATAGAATGTCAGATAGAATGCCAGAAGGTATGCCAGATAAATGCCAGAATGTTTGCCAGATAGAACGCCACAAGATTTGCCAGATAGATTGCCAGATAGAATGTCAGAAGATATGCCAGATAGAGTGCCAGAAGATATGCCAGAACATTTTGCAGAAGATATCCCAGGTAGAATGCCAGAAGATATGCCAGATAGAATGCCAGAAGATATGCCAGATAAAATGCCAGAAGATATGTCAGATAGAATGCCAGAAGATTTGCCAGTAACAAAACGTATGTCATGGTGGGGATAACTCGAAGTAAAGTATTTTTTTTACTCGAATCTCCTCTCCATCATCCTCCATGAGCTTAATCAAAAAGAACTACATAGGTTCAATCGATGTAAAATCCTTTAGAGATTCATCACCCCTTATCCTAGCTCTTTTATTGCTCTTCCTCTGTTGACTCCCCATTTGTTTGATGGGAACATCTGATCAAGCCCAAGATGGCCTCGTTCAGTGAGCCATTTCCTCTGCAACTGTAGCTCCTCCCCCAACAGCATCAGCAAACCTGGCAGAGCTTCCCCAGCCGCCTTTGGTACCCGATTTGGCCAGCTCCAGCCGCCCAGGCCTTGCTGAGGTGTTGGGAAGCTCAAATTCTTGGAGCTGAAGAGGCGCTTCAGCGTCTTCCGCTGCGCCTTGGGGCTCCAGGTCAGAAATTTCATAAGGATGGAGAAAATCTGATCCATCAAAATCCCCGCCCCTGCTGAACTTCATAATGCAATCGCACTTTCAAAATGGGAATTAAGAACCCACAATTTCATGCTTAAATCATTTAATGCACATCTCTGATGACCAAACTTCCACATTCCATAGTCGAATTGCAAATGTTCATGGTCAAATCTCAACTTTCATGGTTACATACGTTACATTCCTTTTTCCATTGTCTGATCGTACTTTTTCATGGTTAAATTCCAACTTACAGATCGCGCTTGCGCGGAAAACCACAGTTAAATGCGCGTTGAGAGGCAAAGGACCCCGCATTTGTTGGCAACAGGAGACACCACCATGTACCAATGGGGAATCCGCGCAGTTTGGAGATGAACCAAGTTTTTTCACTCCATGGCAAATCTTTCTGGCGATTCAAGGAGATTTTGATGGTATCGCTTGTGAAAATCAATGTTGTTGAGACCAATTTAGCCAACGAGTTGGACCGTTGGAGGTCCGTCCTGAACTCCCAAGATATCATTTGGTCCTGACAATATCCATCAACCATATGTGCCATGCTCAAAAGTTGGATTGGATTATATAACCAATATTTGGGGGTGGCCATCAATCCATGAATAGTAGGGATGAACACAAAAAACAGGTTTAAGGATTCCCAATATGGGATGGATGACCATAAACATGCATAAAGCGTATACTTATACCATGTTTAACAAGGGTATCAACACACATCATTCGCACCACAGATTCAATCAGTTGGAATACTCAGCAACCTTGACTTGATGCATCCACTGAGGCTGCAGGCAGGAGCCTCTTTTTCGATTTCCTGCCCATGATTTTCGCAGCTCATGCGAGCAGTGTTCAAAACCCTTGTGTCATCGATTTATACCAATTGGACACAATTTCCCACAATGGATTGTGCCAATCTCGAACATATTGGATAGTATAATCATGTATAATCAATCCCATGTAATTCATCAACCTACAGGGCTTTTGAACATTGCTCATGTCAAATATCAAATGAATTAATCCAATTTGGTGGGTTTGATTCACAGGCTGAGGCCTGGCCATTTTTTTTCTTTTAACTCCAGAGTCGTGGTGGTAGGAACATCGAAACTCGAACCCCTTTTTCTTTGGGTCTAAAAACACATGGTTCCCGATAAAAAAATGCCCATAAACAACCCATCAATCCATTAAGTCCATAAAAAATCCTCCAGTTTTGACGGCTAGATCCACCATCTTTAGCTTCAACCCATCCTGGCCCATGCTGTCCTGCGTTCGGGCACGGAGTTCGAAGAGGAGCAACTTTGCCTGGCACCCCCGGAGCTGAGGGGCCGCAGACAGACTCTAACTCTATCCTGTTCTTCATCTTTGCGGCTAGCATATGCTAGCATCCCTTGGGGTAACATTAGATAGAACACATTATTAATGTGTATATGCATAGTTATATTATATATTATAAATTATATATTTATAGTGTTTCGGTGGTGCGTCGATGATGTCTCGGTGGTGTCGCTGGTCTCGGTGGTGTCTTGGTGGTGTCTCAGCGGTTTCCATGTTGATTCAAGGTGTTCACGGTGTCTTGGTCGTATCTTGGTGGCGTCGTGTTGGTGGTGTCGGGGCGGTTGTGTTGGTGGTCCGTTGGTTTTGCCATGCACCATGTAGTCTTCAACGGTTGCAATGCTGTTGTCATGACGACGACGGTGATGATGATGATGATGATGCTGATGATGATGATGATAATGATGATGATGATGATGATGATGAGGGCCATGACGATGACAACAACGAAGACGATGACGATGTGACGACGACCTTGCGTTTGCAGGTTTGAGTTGAAGTGGGGGGAGGGACGGATGTTGACGTATGTTATGAAATAACTTACGGACTAATTATGATGCTTCTATCGAAGCAACTGCGGACATTCCCTCAGTCCATGCAGCAACCAGGGCAGTGGGCTGCTCACCTCATCCGAGGAGTTGACATGCCTGTTGCATGCTACACTTGCACCGAGACCCTCACGCAAATTTATCAAAGGAAAAAGATGGAAAAAGGATGAAAAAGGTATTAGAATAGAAAACCAACAGGAATAGAAAGAAGGACAGGAGGAAGGGAAAGAAAGAGGGAAGGAAGGAAGGAGGACGGCAGGAAGAAAGAAATGAAGGCCTAGCTCCAAAATACTGCGTGCACCTTCCCATGTACACATGTTACTTTCAAAGAGTTGCAGGTCCCAAGCAAGTTGCACATGTTGGTTTCGAAATGTGGCAAAGACCGTGCAGTTTACAGATGTTAGCCGCAACATGCTGCAAACACCATGCCACGTTGTGCAATCTGCAGATGATAATTTCAAGATGTCGCGAATACCGCCCACTTGCAGGTTTGAGCTTCAGAAAGTCATAAAAATAGCATCAAATGGACAGACGCAAATTTCAAAATGCTGCGCATGCCATGTGGTTAACCAATGATAGTTGCAAATATTGCAAAGACTATGCGATGCACTGAAATCTGCACCAGTATGCTGCACATACTGTGCAAGTGAAAGTTTTTGATTTCGAAAAACTGCGACCATTTTTATATACAGTGTACAGATTTGTTTACTTCAGAGCGCCGTGAACATCACAGCACAGTTTGCAGATATGATCCCATATCTTGCAACTATCATGCAATTTGCCGATGTTGGCTTTGCACTGCTGCAAATATTCCCCGATGGCAAAGCTCCGTGCAATGAACTGATGTTGCATCATGCCATGCAATGTACCGGTGCTAGCTGTAGAATGCTGCAAAAACCGAGCAATTTTGCGGCAAATACAACGTAGCTTAGAGATTCTAACAGCAAACGACCAACATATGGTACACCGATACTTTCACACAGAGGTGCTTTCACAAAGACATGTTTTCACACAGGCATTTACACATACACATGCTTTTACCCAGGGATGGTTTTACGCGCAAATACCTTCATGCGCAGGTGTTTTTACACAGGGATGCTTTTATACAAAAAAAACTTTTACACACAAACGCGTGGGCACTTCTACACGCAGATGCCTTTACACAACGATGCTTTTACAGAGGAGTGCTTTTACACGCACGTGCTTTTACACAGAGCTTATTTTGACACAAATTAGCTTTTACACTCACAGAAGATTTTACATTAAATACTATTACGCAGAGATGTTCTTCACACAGAAAAACATTTGTACAAAGGCGTCTTTTCAGGCGCATACACTTTTACAAAGAGGATTTTTGCACGGATACTTTTACGGAGAGATGCTTTTTAACACAGGTGCTTTTACATAGGACGCATCTAGGAAGAGGTACTCTTACATGGGTGAGGCTGGAAACACGATTTGGGGGAGGGTTCAAGCCATTTGGGAATCAAGTTTCCATCCATGTTGTTTTTACAGAGAGATGCGTTTACATACAAGGGCTTCCACACAGGGAGGGGCCTTCACACAGAGATGGTTTTACGCAGAGAGATGATTTTACAAAGGCGTGCTTCTAGTTACAGGTGCTCTTACACAGGGATACTTTCAACACAGAGATGCTTTTACACACGGGCGCTTTAAGATACAAATACTTTTACGCAGAGATGATTTTGCTAACACAGGTACCTTTACACAGAGATGTTTGTACACATGTGTTTTTACATGTTAATACGTCTACAGTACACAGTGCTTTTCGCACACATTCTTTTACGCTGAGATTCCTTTACACGCAAACACTTTTCACAGAATCATTTTGACACACAGTGGCAGGCACGTTTACATGCAAATACTTGTGCACGGCGGTGTTCATTTTGCGCGCGTGTTCTTTACATGCACGCATGCTCTGTCACACGGATGCCTTTGATCACACATGCTTTTACACAGAGATATTTTTGCACGGAGACACCGTGGCACAGAGAGAATGCTTTTTTACACAAATACTTTTACAGAGAGATGATTTCACACTGAGCAATTTTACACAGAAACCAAAACAAGCAGAGGTGCTTTTACAAAAGAATGCATGTGCACGAAGGTTTTTAGCTACAGCATTTTCACGCAGACATACTACATCATAATACTGAATTATTTCCTGTGGCGGACACGCGTATGGCGCAAAGAGTTCAGCACGCATATGCAAAATCATAGTTTCACCACAGCTTTTGATGGTCGAGACGCATTTCCTGGGAAAGGGTTGGCCCAGGACAAACCCACATTGCAATTCTACCTCAATGTATGACGATCGACATTTTGTGCGAACGGGTCGCGTTTCGTGGACATCAATCCACCCTGCCCTGCCGCTCGAAGAGAAAAGTTAGAAACAATCAAGGGTGTAGGTGTCTGTAAGAAATTGATTTCCACCTGCGTCTTTACACCTGCCACATCACACCTGCATATATCCACTTCTCATTTCCAAACAACGATTTCCGCCTGCATCTATATATCTTCCGCACTACACCTGCATATGGCATATATTCGTTTGGTAGCTGTGCGAAAGAAAATTCTGTCAAACCGTGTCTTTGAATTTGAATCTGCACCTGAACGCCTGTCAGTAAGATTCATGTTTGCATCTGCACCTGTATACATAAATTTCATTCTGTAGATGTATTAAGGTGAGGATGTGGAAGAAGAAAAAAAAAGTGATGATGATGATGATGACACGGGCATGGTTGATGAAAAAGAAAAAGAACATGCTGGTGATTGAGTTGAAGAAAATGATGATGATTATGGTGATGAAGATGAAGAAGAGCGTGATGATGATGACGATGATGACGATGGTTTTTTTGATGATGGTGGATGTCTGTACTGACGGTGTGTGATGATGGTGATGGGAGTGTGATATTTTGACAAAGTATGCTGGCAGCAACTTTTTTGGGAAAACAAAAACCCTTCGCGGGCCCTTTCGGGAATTGGTTGTGTCTGTCCTGATGGTGTCAGTCCTGATGGTTGATGGTGTCTGTTCTCCTGCTGGTGTCTTGGTGGTCTCTCAATTGTGTTTCGGTGGTCGTTGGCATCTTGGTGGCACTTTCGCGGTGTGGCCGTAAGTCTTGACGGTGTTCGGTGATGTTTTGAGTCTTGCTCACGTTTTCGTCGTGTTTCTGTGCTGTTTTGGCGGTGTTCCGGTGGTGTTTTGGTGGTATTGAAGAAACGGTCCTTTTTTTGAAAGAAAATGGCTCTCCGGACAATACCAAACTGGCGTCAACGGAGATGTGAGACTTTGCTATTGGGGTTGTATGCTGGGCTAATTGTTGATTTCATATCTGCATTATTATTGAAAAACACAATATCATCTGGCAAAGTATCATTAACTATCATAAACCGTCATTAATCACCTTTATCATATTCCATCATATCCCAATTATACCACCATTATTGATCATTTTTGTCGGTGAAGTCACCATTGTTGTTGGTGAAATTACCGGCTACGGCTGCTCAACTTCCATCCACCAGAAAGAAACCTGCGTTGCTTTGGAGCGACACACGGAGAGCTCCAGAAATGTGCGCCTCTCCTTATTTGGGGGTGCCCAAAAACTTGGGGATACCTTCACGGCCACTTCATGGGCAATGGAGAATGGATAGTGATTAATTCCAATTCCAACTCACGATTTGCGCTAAACACCTCTGATCCCAGCATTGGTTTAAGGGAAAAAAACCATCAACAAGAACACTGGCAGTTGTTGGTTTTCTGTAGATTTTCCCAGGAGGTTGTGCCTTTACCAAGCAAATAGCCTCAAATAGCCATCTTAATAGGAAAATCATGAATAATCGCCGAATTCGCGGGCACCCGATTCCAAGAGTTTCCAAAACAAAGATGTTCTAGCTAGTTAGTACATGTCCCATTTTATAGCAACAGATTAAAGTACTAAAGTTACTAAAGTGCCCATCCAAGGTTAGCACAAGTCAAATAAGGGTTTACTAAAGGGCAAATCTTAACCACCAGTAGGCACTAAGAAGTCACTTTAGGGGGTTGTCCAATCATATCCCAGAATAGATCGTCATAAATGGTCAGTTTTTGCTGTTAATTTCCAGCCTTTATAGCCATTTGGGTTTGGATCAAAATTTGATAGCCCAAAATTGAATGGTACACATTTTTTTAAAAATCAATATATCAAATCTGCCAGTCCACTGGGTCTTAATCTTTGGACCTATATCCATTTATAGGGGGTGGTGAAACTCCTCATGCGTTGAAGCTCCTCCAGCTCAGTCTGACGCTTGCGCAGCCGCTCACGCAACTCCTGTAGCTCCTTTTCGTAGGTGGCTTGCCTGGGTTCAGTTACGGTGTTCAGCCATGGCTGGTTAACCCCAGAATAGAATTGGTATAAATAGCTTTTATAACCGTATGATGAGATATGGCTGAAATAATGGCAATTGGCCAAAATGAGACATGTCTCGAAATGTCACCCCAGATTTTGCAACCCCCCCTGGGCTGTTTATCGTTTGGCGGGTACCATATTTTGAACGCAGATTCAATGACATCCCTGTTTGGAGGTAACCCCGCTGCGCTAAGTAATCCGTTTAGCAAAATTTGGAAACATTATGTACCATAGTCAAATCAAGTTAGATGGAAAAGAATCATGGGGCCCCCTAGCCATCCCCCCATCATTGTATAGGTGGTGGTCCCAGGAATCGCGGTGCTGCTGAGTTCCTACGGCAGTTGGTTTATAACATTTATAACCCCATCTCTTAGGTCACCAACCTGGTGCCCCAACATGTGTTATTGGGCTTACAACCTACTGGGGTGTGCATCCCACTTAGTAAGTGGTTAATAATCTATCTATGACCCATGTAATTGATTATAATCCCCCATCAAGTGGGGATATTCCATAGATAACTGGGGGTATAACCCATTTACATCCATTTGCAGTCCACTGTCCGGGCCTCATGATCTTCTCCCGCTGACGCACATCCCACTTCCGTTGGATCCGCTTGATGTGCTCTTCCGCCATCACCTTCGAAGCGGAGACTTGGAGCGAACTTGGGAACCCATGGCCATGGTGAATGCCTTGTTTTGAGGCCACATTGTTACCGGACCCACCCCCCCATATTTCGGAAAAACATACAAAAACATGTCCATGGTGTCCGGTTTGTCAGAAACATGACCCGCCAAATATGGGTGGACATAGGAAAGAAGAGCTGAATGTATTCATTGAGTTTGGGGCGGTAGTTGTTTTCTAGCTCAAACACTTCATATTGGTGTACCAAACTATAGGACAACGAAGAAAAGGCATTATCTGATGCTAACAAAACATCTAGCTCAGATGATATCCATCCTCGTCTCGTGTTTCCATCAGAATTTGAACAAACATGTGCATCTTTCATGCACCGGATTTTAATAGTTTTTTCTTGGTCATTATCGGTAATTATAGGTCAATTATAGGTCAAAACCTATCATGCCTAATATTTTTTCTTGATTTTTGGTGACCGGGGAAATCCATGGGATTTGACTCATCCCCATGACCCAGAGACCCACCGCCACCTTGGCGTGGTCCGCCATCTGCGTTGCCAAGGTGTCTTGAATCTTTTGCAGGAGCCGTTCGCAGTAGTGTTCATCCTTGGCCTTGGGCGTTTCCTATCCCGAATTGGTGGGGTTGGTGATGAGTGGTATCTCTACTGAAGTATGGATAGTAAACCAATTGTGGTTGTGGATGACCTAGACAACCAATTTTGGTTACCAGTAGTACCGCACAAAGCTGTGGCGGAAGTTTCAAAGATAGGACACTATATATAAGAGAGGTGAGTTGTTATCATGCATGGATGCTAAAGCGAATCCATTGATGGACCGAAAGCTGGTTGGAGTTGTGCTTTTTGGAGTGGTTACAGTGGTCACCTCAATCACAATTGCTGGATGTAGTGTTGTGTAGAGTGTAATGCAAAGTATTTTTTGTAGTCGCAGTTGCAGTTGTATTGTAGTGTGGTTGTAGCTGTAGTTAATGTAGTTGTAGTTGTAATGTTGTAGGTGTAGCTGTAGTAGTCGTTGTAGTCGTAGTTGCATTTGTAGAAAAGTTGTGTGTAGAGGTGGTGAAGTGTGGTGAAGTGTGTAGTGGAGTGTAGTGTAGTGTAGCGTAGTGTAGCGTAGTGGAGTTATAGTTGTAGTTGCAGTTGCAGTTGCGTTGTAGCGTGTAGCGCAGTTGAAGCTGCAGCTGTGGCTGATGTTGTTGCAATTGCAATGTTGTAGTTGCAGGTGTAGCCCTAGTAGTTGTAGTACTTGTTGTTGGTGTAGTTGTTGGTGTTGTTGTAGTAGTTGTGGTTATGGTGTGGTGTAGTGGTGGTGTAGTGTGGCGAAGTGGAGTGTAGTGTAGTGGGGCTGCAATTGTAGTTGTAGTGTAGTGGTATTTGTAGTCGTAGTTGTAGTTGTTGTAGTTGCAGTTGTAGTAGCAGAAGGAGGAGGAGGGAGGAGGAGGAGGAGGAGTAGTAGTAGCAGTAGTAGGAGTAGTAGGAGTAGTGGGAGTAGTAGTAGTAGTAGGAGGAGGAGTAGTAGTAGTAGTAGCAGTAGTAGATGATACCATCAGTGCGCACGATGTTTCAGTAAAGATCTTACGCCGATTTCGTGCAGAGCACAGCTGCCCACACCACATTTTTTTTTTAAAGTGTGCTGTGTGCCGTCTTGCTTTTGGGTTCTCTGGCCCACCTTGTTTTTCACTTTTGACTTGGAAATGTGCTTCGCGCCACGACGGTGTGCACTTTTTCGACATGTCAACTTCCAAAAGTGGTCCGGCACCAGGGTACGCCGGGCACTCCGCGGAGGACTGGCCTGACCCGGACCGAACCCTGGGCACTGAGGTGCTTTGTACATTTTGACTTGGAAATGTGCTTCGCACCACGATGGCTACACTTTTTCGACATGTCAACTTCCCAAAGTGGTCCGGCACTGAGGTGTTTTATACATTTTGACTTCGACATGTGCTTCGCGCCATAACGGTGTGCACTTGTTCATCTCTCCTCTGGCAAGATGGCTCCGCACCCGCCGCTTTAGCGAGCCTACTTTTCGACCCTCCGGAGCCACAAATCATTGGAAAAACACAGTGAATTGCGATTTTTCTACCTTTTCGCGCACCTGCATCTTCTTTCTTCTTCTCTTCTCTTCTCTGACTCTTCCCTCCTCTGCTTTTCCATCTGTCCATATTGTCGGAAGTTTGACTTCCAAAGTTCCTTTGCTTAATTACCACATGATTATGGTTGGCGATCTAAATTCCTAATAACTTTCAGCTAGTATCACCCCCGAGACCAAAAACAGTCAACAGTGGCATTTTAAATCGCGCAATTGGAGGAACACGAAACTGTACTCATCAAATGCATGTACATTTTAGATTTGACTGATCACGTATGACATGCTATATCATCTATATCTAACACCAGTTCTTCATCTACGTAGCAACTTGATGCGTCAGTGACAACCCCAAGCTATGTGCGCCCTGCGACATTTTTGGTGTACAAGTTTGACTGCGCCTGGCCCACATCATCCACTGAATTCTGGATTCAGGATGCACATCTGCACCGTCACGCGAATGATATATTGGGAATCTTTATATTGGCCGAATACAATTCCCTGGATGAATATATCAGGATTCAGGATGGACAGGGCAATTCCCTTTTACTGGAGGTGTGGTATGACCATCCCCCAATGATCCCAATGAATGGAAGCCAACACTTGATCATGGAACGCACATCAGAGACGGCGTACTGCGCAGTATCTGGGCCCCCGAACAAGTTGGAATTTCACACTGGTCGTGGCCCGGCGAACTTTAAGGAATTCCTCCCATTCTCCCGACTTGGCAACCCTTCATTTGTCATTTGGGTCTGAACATGTTGGAAAAACAAGGGAAAACCATGGAAAATCTGCAAATTTGGGCAAGTTGATCACAATATCTCACAATTACCTCTCTTGGAACTGCCATAAACTGAGATAAAATGAGGATATACATGGGAGTACTGAAATACCCATTTGAGGCCCGATTTTGTCATGCTGGAGGCTCCGTCTGATCGCTGATCCCTGCAGGTCCTGGGTCAGTTGTTCCAGCTCTCTTGCATAGCGCTCCTTCGATGCTTACCAGGTTGATCCCTACAAGGTGGTGCCCCCCAGTTATAAGTTGGTTTATAATCCCATTAACTATAGATATATCACCTATAAACCATAGTTATTGGAGTTATAAACCAACTTAGCTAACTAGGGGGCACCACCTTGTAGAACTTGCCGCGATCAACGCGCAAACAAACACACGATCTTCCAGTCCTTTGATTCCGTGATTAGACACGATCAGACTATGTAAATACCACAAATGGATGGAAACCGAACCAGCTTGATACAAACGACATATGTCACAGCATCATATCTTCAAGTGACATCATAGAAGATGAGATCACCTGACCTCTGCTTAACGCCTTGCCATCCAAGCTTCTTTTGCTTCTTTCTGTCGTGCTTCAAACTCGTCAATTTGCGTCATCCTGGTAAAGAGCCCTGGGATATCTGGGGATACTGATATGTAATATATATATATATGTATAGTTTCTTTTTGAACAACAGAATGCAACACTTGATGCATGTAAAAAAACAACGAATGTACTCAAGCCACGCATTGATCATTCGAATTAAGAAGCTTGTGGCTGATTAAAACTATCTACATGAAATATAATCAATATATATATATATACTTTCCAGTACTTCCAGCAAATTCAACAGAATTCAACACAATTCAGGACTTGGCCAACGCACGGCTGCCGTGGGCCCTGAACCTGCCAAGGCACAACTTCTTCTGCTTTTGTGACATGTCAAAGGACCTTGGCTCGGCGATCACGGAGCTCACGGAGCTGATGGAGCTTAGGGAGAAATGGGCGCTTGAAGCCCGAAAGAACATGTTCAGAACTTCAATCTATCCATTTTGAGCCAGCCATTCCTTCAATGTATATGTGTGTATATATATAATATTATTCTTATTATCATTACTATTATTATTATTATTAATTATTAGTATTACTAATATTATTGTTATTATTACATTATTGTTATTATTATTGTTTTTGTTATTATGATGATGATTATTATTATATATTATATATTGTATATATATTAAAGGATTCTATAGGTATAGTCCCCCTGCAAGACCCGCAGAATCTACTACTACTACTACTACTACTACTACTATCAAGCCACTGGTCGTCAGGAAGCTGGGCCGATGCCAGATGAAGATCAAATGGTTCTACTCCCAACGTGAATGGAATTGGAATTCATTACGGTACTTCCACTGCTTCGCAAACGTACCGTTTCCCTTTCCCATGCAATCCCAGTGGCTCATTCTCTGCTGTATCATGCTCTGCTTTCAGATTGTGGTGCCTTTGCAAACCTGCTGTGAGAGGGCTAGGTCGGCTAGGTGTGTCCGCCAAGAAAGAGCAACCAATCGAGTCTGAACTGTTATTAACATATATTAACATATATTAACATGCATATATTAACAGTAACATATATAAACATATATTAACATATTTTAACATATATTAACATATATCAACCATGTTCCAATATATGGCTTTTGGGCTTGCCTGAAAGCGTCCAGGAAACCATGAGCCATGCATGGTCTAAAACAAATCACCCCACTTTCTGCTGGGGTCACCTGGGGTATACCCCTCTAACGGCAGTCTGTATGCGTTAGGAAAGTGATACTTTACCCATGGATTTGGAAGCTGTGCCGCTCACTTCCGAAGAAACACTTTTTGCCGTTGGATAGGTGAGATGGATGGACAAATCAAGGCTGTGCGATGTACAAGGAGCCTTACCAAAGATAAAACTAAATGGAGGCTGTGAGACACCGAGTCAGCATACTCGGTTCGGCTCTACTCATTTCTTCTTGTCTTGCTTCTTTACATACTCTACAAGGGATAAGGGGATTCGAATTTCGCCAGTAGGTGGCGCCTGCTTGCACCTGAGGAAAACCACGTATGCAGAGTCGTTCAACGGTTCCTCTGGAGGGTTCCCTGTCAATAGCGAGACTTCAGGTTCTTTGATCTCGGAGTCATCCATCGTATACCATCCGCAATCTCCACCGGGCGTGGGCTCCGATCTTCTTCCCAATGCATAGTAGTGTCCACTGGAAGCGTATTTTCCAGAGTGAATTATCCTGGATGGTGGTTTCAACCCCTCTGAAAAAAATGAAAGTCAGTTGGGATTATTATTCCCAAGATATGGAAAAAATGTTCCAAACCACCAACCAGTATCGTATGGTACAGCTCATATTCGTAGCTGCCAATCCACAAGCCCTCATCTATCTTCACCGGTGTCTTCTCCTTGTTGAAGTCGCGGGGTTGCATGTTGTAGCTAAAGCGGTTCAGGCATAGGCAAAGATGTTGCAGAGGTCGAGTGATTTCGGTCCACTTCACAGCCAATGTCTTCATCCGGCATGTTTCACAGGTGACCAATTGCTTGGGTCGTCCATCTCCTCACACTTCAAGCGCTCCTCAAGAAGCTTCTGCATGGTTGGCACGATGCCACTCTCTTTGGCCTGCTCTGCAGTGGGCACCGGAAGCACCAGATCTGTAAAGGTCTCCTCGCGAACCTTGATCTTCCCACACTCCCGACACTGAATTTTCTCTTGCAGCTGGCCTGCAAAGACTTCCCTCAGCAAAGCTTGGTCGCTTCCACCAAGTTTGTCAAACGCGAAACGAATTGTCTCGGTCACATCCTGTTGTTCTCCTGAGCGGTAGTCTGCGGGAAATGCCTGCAGGATGTCCCAAATGTCCGTATGCTCGTGTTTTGTCAATGCCATTTTGGCAAACTGCTTTTGAAGCAACTCCACTACCTTCTTTCCGAACTCAAAGTCCTCCTCGTCAATTTGGGACGGCTTGGCTTTCAGCTTCAGGGTGAAGTCATAGATGCGCCATACAAAGGCGTCAGTGAGTAAGAGCGCCTGTGTGAAACTATTCATGTAGCAGGTGTTCTTTGTATTCTGCAATCCAATGCTGGGCTGTCTGTGCGTCACTGCTTTTGATGTCTGTTGGGGTAATGTGTGAAACTCTGTTTGTGTTGTGAATGGTTGCATGCAGCCTTGTGCTCCCTGCGCTTGTTTTGGCGGAGCTGGTTGGCTTGCCTGTGTTTGGTGACATTGATGGCTTACTGTTTGGTTTTGTTCATATTGGCTTCAAGTTGTGCCTGGGGCGGTCTGAGCCTGCATCTGTCCATTTGGCGGACTGGCCATCTGCCCTCCCAAGCGTGGTGCAGTCCAGAATCCTCCACTCGCTAATGCACGCAATCTGGTGACCAAATCTAGCGCGTGCTTGGCATCCACGGACGCTGAGGAAGCCAGTTGCATAAGCAACCCCAAAGGGTCATAAGATAGCCTGGGTCCCGGGAAGACCCGAGTAAGAATCTCAAGGTGCCTACTGCCTTGTCCACCCAGCCCATCATCAGTGAGATTCTCATCACTGATGATGGGCTGGGTGGACAAGGCAGTAGGCACCTTGGAAGGTTGGCAGCTTTCAAAAGCATGGTGAACTCATCCAAGAAACCAAGCCAAATATGTTTTGTATAGCATACTATACCTGCCAGAAAAAGATTGAGCAAAGAGGGAAATGACAGCTTTATGAAAAAGTCAACAGGCCACAACAGCTGCTGCAAGTCTGGCGAGTGCTGCGTTTGATGTCGACAGACCTGCGAATGTGTGCCATTCAGAACACCTTCTGCCCTGGCGAAGACCCAAAGAATGATCAGAAAAGTGTATCAGTTCTATTTTGGGACATCGGATATTGATGGATATTCATTCAATTCATCAATTACTTATATTGAATCATGCTTTGTAAACCCCAACCCCCAAGAGAGTAATGACCAACAACAAAATTCAACGTTCCAATGACTAATTATTTGGAGGTTTCCGAAAATCAGGGAAAAATATGAAAACATCATCATTTTGTTTTGGGATTTTCAATGATAAACCATCCAGCTATTGGGGTACCACCACGTATGGAAAACCCTCATTTGTTTTTCATCTAACATCCGCCTCCTGCAAAAGAAGAGAGACGATCCATCTTTCCGCGTTGGCAGGACTTTGGCGAGCCGTTTCCTCGCCAAGAATCCCTAAGCAGGCAGCTTTCACTCCTTCAGGGTTCCAAGGGGAGCCCAAAACAAGACCAAAAAGCAGCCAAACACACCAGACATTGCCAGCAAAAATATGAAATTGAAAAACCCATGAATCCAAATGATAATTCTAGAGTCTTTTTAAGAGACCAAATCCTTGGCGGCTTTGACTTCTATGCATGTGTGGAATCGGCTTGAACCGCTGTCCTTGCATCTCACAAGGGTCTGCGAGCCAGCGCACCACACAATTCACTGCCATCTCTCGGTTTGGACGCGAGGAAGGCACATCTTTCCAAATGTGGACCAACCAAGCTCTCGCAATCCATGCTGGTACTTTGCAGAGGTCGTTTTGCTTTGTGTACTTCAAGAGCAGCTTTGAAAGTTTGGAGGCTTCACTCTTGGTGTTTTGGCCCATGGTCTCTTTTGTCCAAAGGAGATTTCGAAAGAAAGCAGCTGCCCTGTCCACATCTCCGTCTTCCGGGAAGAGCCATGACACGTTGTTTTTCACCTGGCCATGGCAAAAAACTGAACTCACAAAGTTACAGTAATTAGTCGTTTTCTGACGAACCTATCCAATTTGCAGGGCGTCTTTTTATTCTATATATAATTTTGAGCCATACCCGCTGCCCACCTTGCCGAACTCAGAAGCCACAATAACTGGATGTAGCTGAAGAAGTTCTGCAAGAATGTGAATGCTGAGGTTGTGCATCCACTGCATCGGCAAAGGCTTCTCTAGGATTGCTTGGACCCAAAGACGAACTTCGTGGACGGGCATCTGCTGCACCAAATGCTGCGCCTCCCAATACTTTTGTTCGATCGGTTTCAGCTCCAGCAGCAGATGGTGCAGCCGCAGCTTCACGGGAAGCTGCTGTGGTGTACACGGTGGACAGCTCTTGGGTAAGCCATCCCACCACTTTGGAAGAAGGATGCCATGTGCCCAGGCTGCCCACAGCCGCAGCCATAGTAAGCACAGGGGGCCACAGCAGCCATGAGCTTCGATCGGCACCGATGGATGCCGAGCCTCTACAACTTGGTAGTGGGTTGTTCAGACGAGTCTAGAAATCTTTGCTGTTGCAGAAAGCTGAAACCTGTTGCTGCAGGCATCGATGCAAAAACCTGGTTGTAGCTTGAACAACTTGAGCTACTTTGACAATGTCTGCATGTCTGTTTCTTCCTTCGGACCTTCTGTGCGCCAACTAACACAAACTTGTCATCAAATGGGTTTGTCGGAAGACGGTGCACCCCAAAAAACACCCCAAAACCGCAACTTCAGTAGGAAAATGATGATTATCAAATGATTTTGGGATCCCCATCAAAAGTTTGTTATATATGCGATATCCCCATCAAATATTCCCTGTATGGATGGTGAACAAAATCTACTTTTTGCCGGGATTTCCTCCAAAATCTCATGGTTTCCAGCCCCCAATAGGACACCAAGCCGCACCTCCCGCGATTTCGGCCGCCAGGGCTGACAAAACCTGTCCCAAGTTTTTCATTGCTGGATGTATCATACACCATCCATTACAAATTAAGACACATATATGATATTCTTACATAGTAAATATCAAACAACATATATATATATATAATATACATATGGAATCTGAAATATGATATTCAATATATGAATATATATATATGATATCTCACATATGATATCTTGTATATCATATACTAATAGATTATATAATCATATAATATATTGTATTATATTATGTTGCATCATGTTGTATTGTATTATATTGTATTGTATTATATTAAATCAAATCATAACATATATATATATGTGTACATAATAGTTATAGTATCACTCTCAGTAATTGAATTATTGCCATCTTAAATATACATCGTTTTTGTTTATATACAAGTATATACAATAATAATAAAACAATCATAACACTGTACATATATATATATGTACACATATGTATGTATTCTACTATATATATATAGAATGTGCATATGTATACGCATATATATTATATATTATATAATATATATTATATAATATATAATATATAATATATAATATAATATATTATATATTATAGTATATATTTTATATATATTATATTATATATTTTATATATATTATATTATATTTTATATATATTATATTATATATTTAAATTATATTATATTATATATTATATCATATATATATATTATATATATCATATTATGTTATATATATAATATGTATATTATATATCATATTATATATATGCATATACATTATATAAATCTCTCATATATCATATTATATATATTATATATACATATAAATCATATAACAGATATGTGCATCTAATTTTATGTAACACAACATGTTTATATGGTCGGAAGTATTCAATTATCATTATGTATGTGTATACATATATACTTGGAAGCGTATACATCACATACGTTTATCATTGTGCCCACGTGAGGGAACAACATTGTAACATACATTTCTGAGAAGATTCATAGGTTCCACTCCTCATGTGTTCTTAAAGTGACAACACACGTTCAAACAACAATGAATATGGTCGTTTGCATTGAATATGTATTAAATAATTATATGTGGTACACGCAACATGCACGTAGCAGCTAAAATCTGGAATCCCTCAAGCCCTAAACCCTCTGGTTTATGATCATTTTCCATGTGACAACTGGCTGGTAACATGGCAAAGCCCGGCGTTGAGACAACGGATACGCCATGGTCAAAACATGGTGGGACCCCGACGGTCATCCAAGGCAAAACATCAACTCCGTGCGATGAAAAATCACTAGTTTCACTGGCAATTGAATAATGGCATTTGGCATTGACTAATGGAACATAATGCCATTCACTGGCTCTTTAAAAACTATTTTCCACTAATTAATTTCCGTTAAGTTCCTTCATCATTATCATTCTGCCATTAAAGCCCATCTATGGTCAAATGGCATTATGTTCCATTAGTTCATCGTTCGATTCATTAACCATGATAAGTTCCATGACTTCGATTAATTTGCAAATCATGTTCCATGAATTTTTCCATATTCATTCATATTCTTAATGGCACTTGTTGTGAATTCAGGGCACTGAAATGGCTGGTTTTTCACTAACTCTTCCGACAAAGCTCGCCTGGCGCACTTGTCTCACCATGTCTTCCAAACTGGTCACGGAACGCTCCATGAGCCTGGTGCTTTTACAGACCGATCTGAAATCATTGGGGTTCCATGATAAAAAATAGTAGAGTATACACAGTTTTGAAGATACTGAGGTTAATATCTTAAATAGTACGTTGTCAATCTAATATCAATTTAATATGTGGCGTTAATAGCATGCTCACCATTTTTAATCATGTTGATTCGGGGTATCACTGTTTATACAACCATTATCAATCATCACAATATGATTCAACATTGGTATAGTATTATTATTTCCACATATGTCCACTGTATGATTGGTGGTAGTGCTGGTAATTGGTACATGACGTAGTAATGACAAATTACTAATTTGGTACATGATACTTACATACTAAAGTGATCTGGTAAATTACTAATGGACCATTACACTTTCTGTAAATGATAGTAGTTGGTATTTATGCTAAAGTTAATCATGTCATACAACATATCAAACATTACCAATAGAGAGCATGGATGAACATGGATAAACATGGATGAACATGGATGAACAGGGATCACAACATGATGTAAAATGGACTGACATCCGTAGAAATATAATTGAATTAGAAATGATCAGGAATCATCTAATAAATCTGGCGCATCTTTTATTTTAATATATTTTACCATTTTTAATAGGTAAATCACAAAAAAACATGTATAGATGGGCCAGTTTCCATGGCTATGTTAAATAACCGGAGGGTAATAATTAAAATCATCACCATCTTCATTGGAACCAAGTCTTGTTTCATATTTTTTCAAACGTGGTAACGGCAGCCATGGAGCTTGCCATGGGTCTGAAGCAAATCTTCGGTGGCTTTCTGCTTCGCGTCTAACCAGCTGTCTTCCTGCCAGGATCATCTTTCTGCTGTGCGAGAAACGTGAACAAAATGAGGGTTTCAATGGGATTGCCATGGATTGTTGTACCATGAATATCCATGAATCAGATAATATGATATTATCATTATGATTATATAATGATTAATGATTAATGCGAATGGATACCAGTGAAGATTTGTAAATACTAAACAAAACCATACAAAACCAACATCAGTTGGTTCTGAAACCTTTGAGTTTCTCATGAGTTCTGCATGCTTGCGCATCACAAAGGGACGACGTTTCATCAGCAGCTTGCGACCACTCCTGCTCTTTCATCCGCAACATGCGTTCCAGCTCGTTCATATCGTACTTTCGGAATTGTTCATTTTGCACGACCTTTCCAGCCAGGTCGTAAGCGATCAGAAAAAGCCAACACCCAGTCCCACAATGTCCCCTACAAATTGCAGACGGCAACGCATGTGTTTTTAGGTGCCAAACAAAGTGAAACAACGATCAAAAACGCAGCAAGTGGATGTTGGATGATGTTGGGATGTTGGGATGTTGATGCATGTTACAATATGTTACAATGTTGGGTCAAGCAGCAGGCTCCAAAGCTTCTCTCATATCTTCGAAGTTCTTCCTGACCCATTCGTCAGCTTCAGGCACTACGCCCTCAGAAAACCTGGGCAGAATCCCGTGGTATCCACATCTGTAGTCTTTCGGCCCAAAATTCAAAAGATAGAAGACGTTATGTACTGACATTCTGGTGACATACTCAGTGTATCAACATTTTAGTTGCAGATTTCTCTTCACAGAGGCAGTGGGTTGCTGATTTCTCAATCAACAGCTGTTCCAGGCAACGATTCGTAGGTGATCTCCATCTTCTCCTTAGATGTTTAGTTGGGATGATTTCCAACAATCCGACGAGTGATTCTTCCAACATCCTGAGATAAGACCATGCAAGACCATTCTTTCAAATCTTTTTCATGTTTTATCGTATTTGTTCATCATATCTTAAGCCATTTTTGGTGAGTGTTGGACTTCGTTGGACCCCCATGCCACGCTATGCCACGCGCAACGACGGCAGCTGGTCGACTGGTTTGAGTATGATCTCAACGTCAAGAGACAAAACGGACCCGCCAAACTTGGTCATTTCGGGAGTAATTACGGTACACCAACATAAACCATTCATTTTTGGATATTTCATCCATTTTTGTACTAAACCACATGACATGAAACGATAAACATGATACCGTTTGGTTCTTTAACGTAGCTATGGAAAATCACCATTTTGGATAGGCAAATCATCATGTTTATCCTCTATCAATGGACCATTTTCCATAGCTATGTCATAGGCAAAGGGTAACACCCATCCACTTTGACCCAGCAGTCGGAGCTGTCGGAGCTTCCGTCTTGTCCGAGAAGATGGATCGCTCGAAGCTATCTACGGTGCGATTCATCCTGCCACAAGTGCCTCAGCCGAGTCACCCAATGAATCCCAATGAATCTCATGAACCCCTATGGTTTGCCGATGTGAGGAGCACAACTTGTTGTGACGAAACATTTTGCAATGTCCATCCAGGACCTTTCTGTGTTCTTTCTCGTTAGAAGGCCAGACATAACAAACAACGCCATTGCCAGTCTGCAGAAGCACCTCGTAGGTGATGGAACATGAGGTATTCCTGCCGTACAAAAATCTGGCAATGATTGGAAAATGATGGGAACAATATGGGAATTGATGATTGATCAACACTCCAGGAGCCCCATTTTCACAGACCCAAATGAGACAGCTCAAGCGTAGACAGGGCGGAATTGCAAATGATACATGCTGTACTGAAAATTGATGAACATTGGATATAGTGCCTCATGCTTTCTTTAGGGATCCTTTGGGAGTCTTTTTTGGGGTCCTTCCGAGTTCTGTTGCGACTCTTCACCTTGGGGACGGAGTCGGCATATCAGGGTGGTTGCCACAAAACTTAGAATCTGGTTGTGACTAACATAGCCATGGAAAATCACCATTTTTTATAGGTAAACCATCTATTTCTATGGGCCATCTATACCATGGCTATGTTAGTCATAACCAGAGGCTAATTATAGCGGTGGCAACGTCTCATAGCAACGTTTCCGGCATCGCTGTTTGAACTCTTGAAATCGGGACCAAAAAGTGGGCCATTGTTTTCTCTCAAAAAACACCAACTGAGCAGTGCGAAAAAAAACCCTCTGTCATTCCATCAAAAACTGAGATATACTGAGAAAACTGGTTGGTGAATAGGCATTTCCCCCATTTTTATCCATTCATCGCCTCTGAAAAGTGGTAGAATCCCCTGTGACACAAAAATCAACCAGCGGAGGTTTTGAACACGACCCCCCCATCCTCCCCCAATCCTCCCGCCCCAGGTGTTCCCAGTGAAACTCCACGTCCTTCACCTTCATCCCCAACGCCACCCGGTGCTGCCGCTTCCGGTGCGAGGCCGTGATCTCGCGCACCTTGGCGAAGGCCACCTGCAGGAGCTGGGGACTGGGGAACAACAGGGGGGGTCCTATGGAATCTTTGGAGTTTGGTGGGAAAAATGGGGGAACAACTGAGGTTTCCATGGGGAAAATATGTTTTTTTGGTGGGAAAGATTGACTAAAAATGAGATGGTTCCTATGGATTTGATAGATTTTCGGTGATTCTTCAACCTGAATTGGAGATTTCACCCTTTTTTTTGTCAGGAAACATGGAATGTTATATATGTGACTATATAATTATATAATTATATATATATCTCTCTCCTTTTTCTCCTGAAGATTCAAGTTTAACGTAATGGATATGATATGATAAGATTATGATATGCTAAGATTACGATATGATAAGATATGATATGATATAATATGATATGATATGATAGGATACATGTGTGTATATTATATATACGTATTATGATACATGTATACATACATATGGTGGTATATAATATTATTTGGTGTACATTACGTAAACACCTGGAAACATATTAGTATTTAATATGATGTTGGAAACGTGTGGAACCATAGAAACATGATGGAAACAATGGGTGGATTTTACAGGGCCATTGATAAACAGTGGGGAACGCATGGGAATAATATGGCATAATTGGGGTGTGATGGATTTTCGTGGGAATTTAACCAACATGGATATATCACTGGATGAATGGATATTGAATGGATATGAATGGATATGAATGGATATGAATGGATATGAATGGATATGAATGGATTATATCATTATATCCACAAAACTGACGAAACAAATATGAAAACACAGAGGATTTCACTGATTTAATCAACACAAATGATGAAATGTAGGGTTTATTGGGGAAGAATGGGGGTTTCATTGTTTCAAAAATGATCGAACAACCAGAATATCACTGATAACGGCTGGAAATCTCAGAAACATGGCTTTAAAATGCTTTAATTAATCAGCAACAATTGGGTGATTCAACCAACTTTTGCAGGGAACATGTGCAGGAATGGATTGATTTTCCGCGGAAAATCTACACGAAACTGCCGGCAAATGGCATGCATTTCATTTTATCAGCGGAATCTGTGGAACCAGAAACCCTGTTGATCTTCGCGCCTCAATGTCCCCCCCCGGCCTGCCAACGAGCACGCGCATTGACATTGGATGTCATTTGGGTTCTAATCCTCAAAGCTGCAGGCATTGACCCATTCGGAATCCCGTTTTTGACCACTTGGGCATGTCCCACACTGCTCAGGCGCCTGGTTCAACCTTCCGTGCCCAGAGCATCTTCCTTATTTTAAGGCCCCAAGAAATCCTGATTTGGGAATGGATCCGTTCATTTTGGGATTCCGTCATTGCGGGGGTTATTGACGCAGTAAACCCAATAACAAACTCACCATGTAAGGATGATTCTTACGACTCATTGATGGTCATATGGGGGATGGGGCATTTACCACAAAGGGGTTGGGACCACAGAATCTCAGCCAGGCATCACAGGTTTCTCAGGATCTCTTCGCCAATCCAGGGCTGTGATGTTGTTCAAATCTTCCTCTTCCTCCTCCCGAAAGAGAACTCGGGCAGCAGTTGTGGCTTGGAGTCGCAATCCCGCGACAAAAACCCAGCGTCAACTTGGTGCCAGGTAAGCTGCGTGAAATTGGAAGGATGCAACGCAGCCAAACATCTCCGAAATTGTGGAGAAGGCAGGCACAGAAAATCACAGTAAACCAGGATAAGGCGCACAGGTTGTCCAATAATTAACAGGCCCCTTGTTTGCCAGCTGAAAAAGAACATACTCAACCCAGGGAACCCCAGGAGCATCCTCCTCCTCATCCTCCTTGGGGCTTTGAGCCTGGCTTGGAGATTCATTAGTTATGACACTAAGCGTAGTGCAAATGTAAGCCTTGGAAAAAATAGAACAATCGTTTGCCACTATAAATATATATATATATATTTTTTTTTTGGTAGGCTGTTAGGCTTTTCAGCATCTTTCTGGAGATCGCCATAGTGGAATGCTGAGCAAATCCTCTTGTTCCGCTGAAGTGTTTCACACCTTCCAACGGCGACATCAAACTCCGTCTACTGGGCAATTGGATCATGAGTGATGCAGCAGATCCTATTCTCCAGGAAATCCTCGTGATTTCCCATAAAAAAAAAGGTTTTCCAGCAACTTCTGGGAACAAACAGATTGGACGGAACTTTGATGCATGATGCATTCACCTTGCCATGGGCAATTATGGATCATACCCAAACCATCATTCATTCAGGATAAAACTATGATTCAGAACTATATCAATCAGTAAACACTTACTATATTTTAGAACTGTACCAAATCTAATCGATCTCTAGTGGCAACACTTCTAAAATATAGTAAGTATTTAGTAATAGTTGTGGCCACTAAACTTAAGTGCTTCAAACTGTATCAGAACTATCCTTTACCATCCCCAAAATCCTGTACAGAAGCGCCTCGGCGGCACCTGGAGCGCTTTCACCGAAGTGGAATGTCTGGGCCTCCTGCGACGATGTAGAAGGGCTATGTCCTGTATATATTATCGGGTTGGTTAAAGCGAAAAACTATAGAACACATCGGAACACGGAAAAAACATGTTTTTGACACGTTTACCTATATCTGTAGGAGTTTCTTGTATAAACCATAATTTACTCCACTCTGGGTCCTGAGGACTCACATCCAGATTTGTTTGGGATCCCTGGTATCAAATATTTGCTGTGTGATGTGGGTGTACACATATGACCTAGGCATTGCTGCAAAATGACATGCTGAAGGAATGACATGCTGAAGGAATGACATGCTGAAGGATGAGCCAGGGACAATCCTGCAAAGGACTGTCTTTGCAAGTTGCTGCATTTCAAATATTTCAAGCAAAAATGAAAGCAAGGTGGGCCAGAGAACCCAAAAGCAAGACGGCACACAGCTCGCCTTTTCTTGAAAATCTTGGGGTGTGGCCAGCTGTGCTCTGCACGAAATCGACGTAAGATCTTTACTTAAACATCGTGCGCACTGATGGTATCAGGGGCCACGATTCACCACAGCATGCTGTGTCAGCTACGCCTACAGTCTTCTAGTCGCTATTTCTGTTAATGTAATTAACTCTATCCCATCTGTCTAGTCGCTATCTATTTCTGCGTTCTCGTTTAGTTTGCTTCGCCGCAGAGGGAGCGAGCACGAAGCGTGGACGGACAGAACGAAATGAAAATTAAACGACAGAGGGAGCTGACCAAAAGAGCATGAAAACGAAGATATATATGAAGGTGACAGATGGCAAATGATCATGAAAAATGAGACATGATAAAAGATGGGTAAAGACTTCTCTGTACAAAAGCTTCTTTGCATAAAAGCTTCTGCAAGTAAAAGCTTCTGTGGGCAAGAACTTCTCTGTGTAAAGGTTTTTGGTGTAAAAGCTCTTGTGTGTAAAATCTTCTGTGTAAAACGCGCTCTGTGTGTAAAAGTTTCTGTTTGCGAAAGTTTCTTTGCGTACCAGCTTCTGTCTGTAAAAGCTCCTCTGTGTTAAGGTTTTGTTTGTGTAAAGCTTCTGTGTGCAAAAGCTTCTCTGTGTAAAAGACTTCTCTGTGTCAAAGCCTCTGAGTGTACAAGCTTCTCTGTGTAAAAGTTCCTCTGTGTAAAAGCTCCTCTGTGAAAAAGCCGCTCTGTGTAAAAGGCTTCTGTGTGTAAAAGCCTCTGTGTGTGCAAGCTTCTCTGTGTCAAGACTTCTTTGTGTAAAGATTTCTCTGTGTAAAAACTACTCTGTGTAAACGCTTCCGTGTAAACTCTTTCCTGTGTAAACGCCTCCGTGTGTAAAGACTTCTCTGTGTAAACCCGTCTGTGTGTAAAAGCTCCTTTGTTTAAAGGTTTTTTTGTGTTAAAAGCTTCTGTGTGTAAAACCTTCTGTGTGTAAAAGTTTCTGTGTGTAAAAGCTTCTGTGTGTAAAGGTTTCTGTGTGTAAAAGCTTCTGTGTATTAAAAAAAACTTATGTAAAAGCTTCTGTGTAAAAAAGCCCCCTGTGTGTACAAGCTTCGCTGCGTAAAAGCTGCTCTGTGTAAAAAATCTGTGCGCCGTAAAGTTGTCTGTTTGTAAAACCTCCTGTGTGTGTGTGAAAGCGTCTGTGTGTACAAGATTCTGTGTGCAAAAGCTCCTCTGTGCAAAGACTTCTCTGTGTACAAAGCTTCTGTGTGTGAAAGTTTCTGTGTGTAAAAGCTTTCCTGTGTAAAAGTTTTCTTGTGCAAAAGCTCCTGTGTGAAAAACTTCTCTGTGTAAAGGCTTTTTTGTGTAAAAGCTTCTGTGTGTACAAGCTGCTCTGTGTTAAAGTTTCTGTGCGCCGAAAGAACGTCTATCTGTAACACCTTCTGCGTGTAAATCTCGTTTGTGTAAGGACTTCTCTCGTAAAAGCTCCTCTGTGTCAAGACTTCTTTGTGCGAAAGGCTTCTCTCTGTAAAAGCCTTTGTGTGTACAGGCTTCTCTGTCTCAAGACTTCTCTGTGTAAAGACTTCTGTGTGTAAAAGCTACTCTGTGCAAAAAAGCTTCTGTGCGTAAAGGCTTCTGTGTCAAGACTCCTCTGTGTCTCTGTAAACGCGTCTGTGTGTCAAAGTTTCTGTGTAAAGGCTTTTTTTGTGTAAAAGCTTCTCTGTGCATGTCCCATTTTTCAGCCTTTGCAAACCGTTTGACCGGTCTTGGGACCATTTGACCAGTCTTGGGTCCACAATTTTTTCAGGCCAATCGCAATGATGGCATTTGTCCTGAAAAAACCCGTGCCAACAGCTCTGCCGCAAACTATTTTCAAGGTTTCCTATCCGTCCAGCATGTTGTCTCGCTCCCTCCAGCGAAGCTCTCCGCAAGCTATTTCCACGGTTTTGTCCCGTCCAGCATGCTGTCTCGCTCCCTCCCAGCAAGGCTCTCCGCAAGCTATTTCCACGGTTTCCTCTCCGTCCAGCACGCTGTCTCGCTCCCTTCCAGCGAAGCTCTCCGCTAGCTATTTCCACGGTTTCCTGTCCATCCAGCATGCTGTCTCCCTCCCTCCCAGCGACGCTCTCCGCAACCTATTTGCACGGTTTCCTCTCCGTCCAGCACGCTGTCTCGCTCCCGCCCAGCGAAGCTCTCCGCAAGCTATTTGCACGGTTTCCTCTCCGTCCAGCATGCTATCTCGCTTCCTCCCGCGAAGCTCTCCGCAACCTATTTGCACGGTTTCCTCTCCGTCCAGCATGCTGTCTCGCTCCCTCCCAGCGAAGCTCTCCTTAACCTATTTCCACGGTTTCCTCTCCGTCCAGGATGCTCTCGCTCCCTCCCAGCAAAGCTTTCCGCAAACTATTTGCACGGTTTTCTCTCCGTCCAGCATGCTGTCTCGCTCCCTCCCAGCGAAGCTTTCCGCAAGCTGTCTCGCTGCCTCCCAGCTCAGCAAGCTATTTCCACGGTTTCCTATCCGTCCAGCATGTTATCTCGCTCCCTCCCAGCGAAACTCTCCGCAAGCTATTTTCACACTTTCCTCCGTGCAGCATGCTGTCTCCCTCCCTTCCAGCGAAGCTCCCCGCAACCTATTTGCACGGTTTCCTCTCCGTCCAGCATGCTGTCTCGCTCCCTCCCAGCGAAGCTCTCCTTAACCTATTTCCACGGTTTCCTCTCCGTCCAGGATGCTGTCTCGCTCCCTCCCAGCAAAGCTTTCCGCAAACTATTTGCACGGTTTTCTCTCCGTCCAGAATGCTGTCTCGCTCCCTCCCAGCGAAGCTTTCCGCAAGCTGTCTCGCTCCCTCCCAGCTCAGCAAGCTATTTCCACGGTTTCCTATCCGTCCAGCATGTTATCTCGCTCCCTCCCAGCGAAACTCTCCGCAAGCTATTTTCACACTTTCCTCCGTGCAGCATGCTGTCTCCCTCCCTCCCAGTGAAGCTCTCCGCAACCTATTTGCACGGTTTCTTCTCCGTCCAACATGCTGTCTCGCTCCCTCCCAGCGGACTTTCCCCAAGCTATTTCCACGGTTTTCTCTCCGTCCAGCATGCTGTCGCGCTCCCTCCCAGTGGAGCTCTCCGCAAGCTATTTTCACGGTTTCCTCTCCGTCCAGCATGCTGTCTCGCTCCCTCCCAGCGAAGCTCTCCGCAAGCTATTTGGACGGTTTCCTCTCCGTCCAGCATGCTATCTCGCTTCCTCACAGCGAAGCTCTCCGAAACTATTTCCACGGTTTC